AAGGACTGACACACAACATAAGGAATAGAACCCCCCCTCCCCCCACAGGCTCTGCTCCACAGGAGCTGTGTGAGCAAACATCCAGAAGCATATAGTGGGTGTCTCAGGGACTGAGTGAGTATGCCACATCCACTAAGCCACATCTTAGGGCTACGAAGTTGGGACAGTAGGAATGAAAATCTAAGAATGAAAGTACATATAAATCCCATTGACTGAACAGATATATGAGAGTACAGGTTCACCATATAACTAGTGAAACATACTAGAATAGGTGATCCAAACCCACACTGTGGAAAGGATTTTCAGTGTTTCTACATGTAACTACTTAATTCCTGACATATTCTTGAAGAGGAACAGCCCTGAACTACTAAACAATCTCAGTCTTTAAACACTTATCCTCTCCCACCCATTTTAAATAATGGCTATTTCACGGAAAAAAAAAAAAATCCCAACAAGGCACTGTGAACTTTTGGGGATATTCTTTAAGTAGCCCAAAAAATAATTTTAGAAGCCGTATACCAGTAGAAGAATTTCATGTCCTTCATGGATATGTGAACAAGGTTACTTTAAGGATTACACAACATGTTTTCAAGGGTGCTCATGTTCATGAAAAACACTGCTAACAATAAGATGCCTGAAAAACAGGTATGCATGCTGCTTAGAAATCCACACTAAAGCATTTTCTTCCCTTCTCTTTCCTCTTTCCCTCTTAGATTTGGAAGTTCAGTCTCTGAAAAATGTTCTTAATGATGCTTAATATATTATTTTCTTCCTTGTGAAAAAAAAAAAAACGTGTAAGACAATCTCCTTTGGGAACCAAAGAAGAAATCTTTTTATGTTCACTGAACTAAAGTTACTTTCATTCTGTGATGTTCTTTGGCTTGAGTGTTCCATCTGTCAGTGGTCCTCATTGACATTTGTTAAGGAATTATTGTGGTCAGAAGAGCACAGTGCTCATTCTCTGAGGAGCTTTCTAGGTTCAAACTGGAATGCTTCAGGTTCACAGGAGACTAAACACCTCCAAGAAATAGAACACTGATTTAAAAAATAATTAGAGTGATAAAACCTAGCTAACAATATACTCTAAAGGGACTTGATTATGCTTCATCAATAAAATTATAAAAATTTTGTTTTCAAATCAGAAATATGAAGATGAAAAATGAAAATTGAAAGAAAAACCCATATGCAAACAGAACAGTGAGCTTCCCACTCCCTTTGAAGAAAACAAAATCTCTTAGACCCGGGTGCATTTTATTAATAATATACGTTAATATAACCTGTTGACGTTACAAGTAGTTTTTACAAATTCCAAGCTAAAGACAAACACTGTGGCTTAGGAAGCAGAAAGCCGAGTAACTTACATCCTTCATAGTAGACACCCTATTCAATAGTTAAGAAAAAGACTTACATTTTCTGAATTTTAGCATCAATGTATACATTAATTCAGGACACTGAAATTAATAAGAATTCAATGAATATATTGACATATGGCTCATTTGGAGCCTTGAGCAAAGCCTCGCTTCCCTAACTTGTAAAGCCAACGGTGATTCTGTATTCTTCAATCTGAAACTGGCACTTGTTTTCAGCTTTTCTCCCACCATGAGCTAAGCCGTAATTAAAATCAAAGTTACCAAAGATCAAGTGGTAAATGAAAAGCTATTAAAGCTGTCCTTAATGCCCATCTCAGTATTTCTTAAAATGTAGAGAACACTTTCCACAGCATTCCATTTTGGCTGCTTCACATACCAAGCACATGCAGTTTGTGAATCAATCCATAATAAATAACTATTTGTGTTTCTACATTTATAATAGAATAGATGTTCAACCAAACCCAGTCCCATTTTTAACAGCTGAGGTTACACACTTCAGCTTGAGACTACAGGACTTCTTTGATTAGCTATGGTTAAGAAGTTGTAGCTATGAAAGAAAATGACGAAGAAATATCTCTGGAGCCAACATGCAGAAAGGCATTTTCAAAAATGCAAGCTAGGACTTAGCAGTTACTAAGGAAATACTCTGAAACACAGGTTTCCTTGCAACCATCTGTATCTGACACAGTACACATACTGATGGAAGCTCATCCTTTATTGCACTTTTGTTTTCCAAAATATGTCAACACAACTATGTGCACTAGAAAGCTTCCAGCTTCATAAATAACTCTTAAGTAATAGTGTAATCTGTAAGCAGTTAGGAAGCAAACTCCCAATTCCTCCGAAGAGGAAAGAATTCAATCCTCTTTCTCTGTGGTAAAATGCTGGGCACAATAAACATGTGGCTTCTACAATTCTTATGAAACTAAAAAAGCTCAAGTTACTCATTATAAGACAAAATTCACTTATGCCTGTACTTGTGCACCACACATTAAGGCAACAGTTTCTCTAAGGGTCAATAAAGCCTGTTCATACTGAGTCTTTAGTATGCAATGCCACTTCTCACTAGCAGCAAGTTCCTAGTCCCACTAAAACCTCAACCCAAATGTGACATCAAAGAATTATTAGAAATATGACTGATTTAAGAAAGACAAGTCAACGTTTATGCAGTACTAAAAACCAGATAGGATATGAGCTTTTAAAATTTTAAACAAACTTATTCAAAATGAGTTTAAAAGCCTCACATAAACAATGTTCTCCAGGCTTTAACTTTTATGAAGCCATTTTCAGATATTTCAGAAATACGAGGCAAGGTTTAAGTGCTTCTGTGCATATTCAAGAACTCAGTTCTCCACGGAAACTAAGTACATGCCGAGGTACCTCTCAGATGCAGGTGTGAGAAGTGGGGAAAAGGCCTTCTGGTTTACTAAATCAGAGGGAAACAGCACTGGTGAGTGTTTGTGTGTTTCAAAATGATCCCTGTAGAAATGATTCCAACAACAGAATGTAGTCATCACTATAAAATCAAGATTGGGGAGTTCTGCATACATGGAAGAAGAAAAACAAAGACATAAATCACTAATTTCCGTAAGGTTCATGTAGAACAGTGAACACAACTTTCAGCTGTGACATTTATAGTTTCCTAATACCAAATACAGATTTCTGAGGTTGTTGAAATCTGAACTCCCTGGGAAAGAATGTTATAACAATCACTTGCAAAGGAATGGATCTGCTTATGAATCTGTAAATTTTATTTAAAAAAAATTACTCAGAAACAAGTATACACTCCAGTGAGATATTAGTACTGTATTAAATTTTACATTTTGATCACCAGTTAGAGAAATTACCTTCATGAATAGATCCATTTTATAAAGCTGATATTTTTTTTTATAATTCTAGAGGCAAGTGTAATTTCCTCATCAAGCATCCAACTATTTCAAATATCAAGGGCTTTTAATGCTAAGATTTGCTGGAATTTTTATAACTAAAAATAAATCACCAATGAAGAGAGGCAGCTTCTAACAAATATTTAGTTTTTGTTGTTAAACTAGTATTTAATTTTGATTTGCTTACAGATTTTAAGTTTATTAGTTTGAGGCCAATTTTATTAAAAATTGCTTATCATTTTGAAGTCTTAAAAATACTGTTTTGTCAATTTAAATTTTTACTTTTCTGGTTAAGTATACTTCAGATATAAAAGGTATCAAACTGCCCCAAAATACTTTGGAGCTGTTGCTACATAGACAGACAGTGTGTCCTTTTAAAGGATCGTCTTCATCTTGACGTACATTATCTGATCAAATATTAATTTAAAAAAATTATCAAAAGTTAGGTATTGCATTAAGAAAAGAATCCATCCCGAAATGTGAATCATGAACCTTGACAGACAGTGATTCAAAGTAATCATTTCACTTCTTGTAACATCCAGGCTTGAATGTAAAAATGTTTGTGAAATGTGATTAATGTTCTCCCTATTACTTAAGAAATATGATATTTCAAACTTTTGATTATGGTTTGTGTATTAATACATTACATATTTTCAAAATTTAGGTTAAACCAGTAATTCAAAAAAGGCATTAAACCACTATTAAAAACTAAATTGAAACTTTACTTTTATATGACAATTTATCAGGTTGTTTGGGTTAATTAAAAAAAAAATTGTCATTGAAACTCTTGAGGCTTTCAAATTCAACAGCTAAATGGTAAGTGTGTTTCATTAGTCAAACAATTCTTCAAACTGGAGACATTAAGTGTAAGGAGTCTTCCTTCTTCTACTCCGGTTGCAGTTTCTTCTGCATCTCAGCAACAAGAATGTGAAATCAGAAACATTAGGATTCTAAGCTAAATAAAGGCATTCATTTCATGGTAAACCTGCTGTTCACATACAATGAGTGATAAGTCAGCTTTCTTACAAAACATACTACGAAGGAACTAGGATATAACAAGAAGTTATCTATCTCGGTGATACACATTCAACTCATACCCCAGTAGAAACAGAAACGTGGAGAATAGAAACATGTCCCCTAACAATAACTTTTTGCTCATCTCAGGTTTTATAAACGTATACTAATTTCAAAGAAAAATGTAGGCCAAGCATCTCACCGAACTGAAGGCATCCTAAATAACAGGTTGCCTATATTCTTTCATTAGTATTCTTCTTAATGACCTACTCACACTAGAATGCACTCTTAAAAAACATACATGTGTTATCACTCCTCAGTGGCATCCTTCCCCAGATAACTGCTTTCCAGAAACGTCCTTAAAAGGGAGGCTAGATAAGTAGTGGATGACATCAAAATCTCCCTTTGTTCCCAAGGGGAAGCATCAACACGAAACAGCTGGCAGCATCTTCCTCTGAAATAACAACTAGCAGCCCTGTGCCACCCAACTAAAATTTGAAATGACAACCAGTTGGCTGTAAACTGATGCACCTACAATGAGAGAGATTTAGGAATACCATCTGTCAATCCATAGATGTAGAAACAAAACAAATACAGAAACAACTTATTTAAAACCAACAAAAAAATTTTGCTGAAATACAATCCATGATATATTTGATTACTGGTATAACCATAGTTGAAGACTTAAAAAAAAAAAAGTGACATTTTTTTTGTAACAACAGTAATGGATTTATAAAAGGTTTTTGTTTCCAAAGATGTTATTGGGGTCCACATATTCCTTGACAGACTTCAGCATCCCAAAGCCGACATCAGAGATACTTTCCTTTAGCCACTGCTTCCGTAACTTGCCCACTGGAAAAACAAAATAAAAAATGCTTCAATATACACTATGATGCTGGGAACCAATCAATCTTGTGACCATGAATGAACAAACACTGTGTGATAAATGCTTTTATTCAAAAATGAGAAATGTTTTGCTTTATTTGATTTATTGAGCCCACCAGACTATCAAGCTCATTAAGCCCAATGTATTCCCAGGGGAAGCCTGTGCTCCAGTGTCTCCTTTCTCTAGAAACTATGAAATGGAGATGAAGGAAGCTTGGGTTGAGATTGCAGCCCATTTTACAAATAACAAAATGAGAAAAACATGCATTTGAAAAGAACCCACCCCCTGTCTGAACTACCAAAACGTGCCAAAGTTTCAGAGAAAATGAAGTTAACTAAAGAAAAACATATCCAGATGAATTTGTTGGGTATACTATAGCAAAAATGGCAGGATATACATCCACAAAATATTTTAAAGCTTAAAATAATTAAGAAAATCTGAACCTTTAATGGGTTTAAGAAAAAAACCTGGTTATAAAACTTTTATTTGCATTTTACTTTCATATTACTTTTAAATAAATTTGCATGCTCCCAAATAATTCTTCCTATTATTTTTCTAGAATTAGAGATTCTTCCTAGGCACTAAATAAATCAAACACCTAATCCATCTTAAACTTAATCTTATACTTTTATACACTGTATAATGTTCTTCTTCGTTGTTCCTAGCTCTTGCTAATTTATTGAGAATAAATTAATATTTTATTGAGAATATAATGGTCCGTAGCATAAATTATATTTTAAAAGGCACCCAATAAAAAACAAACTTTTCTAAGTAGAACTTTCATAAGAAAGGATATGTACTTAACCTGTAAAAAAAAAAAAAAAAAGTGAAATGTTAACCTGCTTTGGCAGTATGCAAAGCAATGTGCTAATTTATCTGTGGCAAAATGGATAAATCTTTTAATTTACAGATAGGATTCTTTGTGGCTACTACTTTTCAAACATATTGTAATAATTGAATTCAAGTGGTCATTTTCCACAAATGTTCATTAATGATCCAAAGTCATCAACAGTGATTTAATTGGACAACCGAAATGGGAAACCTTCTTTCATTAAAGTATTCTGCCTGTCATTCTAAAACGCACTGCCATTTATCAAGCTGCAGTGATACACTGTAGCACCTGCCATCTGGAACGTTAAATACCATTTCAGGCTCAACTCAAATCATCTTTTGTGTCCAGTTCTCCAGGAAGCCATCAAATTGTCATTAAAATTATAGCATGAAATCCTTAGAAAGCAAGATATTTCTGCTTGGCTTCTAGAAATAAAAGAGTTTGCTGTGTTAATATTGGGGGGGGGGGGAATGATGTACAGAAGAAAAAAATCTTAAATTCAAAAAGAAAGTAACGTTTAAAAGAGCGCTCAAACTGGAAGCCAACCAGAACAAATTCTTACTCATGCAATCTCTACTACCTACAAGATGTTCTACCTGGTCCTCCTCCTGTCTCTCAAAAGGACAACTCACCACAATGCTCTAGCCTTGGTTTTCTCATCTTCAAAGGGACTGGAGTCTATGAAGTCTTTCACCTCAAATAGCCTATGATTTTAAGCACTCAAAAAAGCTGCAAATCAGTTATTTCCAGATTTGCTCCAAGGGATTAAAAAAAAAAAAAAAGCAACTACTCTCTGAGTGACAGAAGTGGCATTATTACTAGCTACCCACAATGAGGTAGCTCAAGAGACAGGGGTGAAGAGCAGTCAATGCTAGTCTCCACTGTTATCTGTAATATAGTTTCACTGAATGTGTCCTGTTGTTATGGATGTAATTGTCCTGAAAAGACTGCAAACAACTGCTCCAACAAGATGGAGCACATTAGAACCTCAGCAGGATGCCCAACAGCTAGCTTGTCTGACTGGTTTTACACCTCTAGTAATAATGCAATTCCACAAGGAACTGAACCATCGGCTGAGAAGCCACCCAACAGCCATTGCATATTTAATGAAGTTGCTCACCAAGCGCTGGAAAACAGAAGGTGCTTGGAGTGCATCATTAGTTCTGTCAGAAGGATAATTTACACATCTATCTTGTCAAATTTTCTATGGTTTATACTTTTACAATAATCAATCTAACATACATTTGATTAGTGAACTAGAAAGTAAAAAAAAAAAAAAAAAAAAAAAAAAAAAAGACAAGACAGTATAGGCAGCATGGCTGTGGCCCCTCATAAACATATTTAATGGAAGAATTTAACCCCTTGATGGCAGAGGTTTGTGAGCTTCCATCAGTGATAACTGAGGTCAGAAATCATGGCCTATTTAATAAAGCAACTAGGAATCTTTTCGGTTTTGCTTGACAATTTAAGTCAACTACAGAAGTGCAGACAGAAAACACAATTTAAGTAAAAATGCTTCAATGAGGCTTTTAAGCCTTTAAGATGATTATCAGAAATAGTCTTCACAAGGGTGCCTGGGTGGCTCAGTCAGTTAAGCATCTCTTGATCTCAGCTCAGGTCATGATTTCATAGTTTGTGAGTTTGAGCCCCATGTTGAGCTCTGCACTAATAGTGCAGAGTCTGCTTGGGATTCTGTCTGTCCTTCTCTCTCTCCCTCCTCACTTGTGCTCTAAGTGGGTAAATAAACTTGAAAGAAAGAAAGAAAGAAAGAAAGAAAGAAAGAAAGAAAGAAAGAAAGAAAGAAAGAAAGAGAGAGAGAGAGAAAGAAAGAAAGAAAGAAAGAAAGAAAGAAAGAAAGAAAGAAAGAAAGAAAAAGAAAGAAAGAAAGAAAGAAAGAAAGAAAGAAAGAAAGAAAGAAAGAAAAAGAAAGAAAGAGTCTTCATAAAATGCTAAAGAACCTTTGGTGGCTGTCTCTGATGAATCAATAAACTGTAACAACAGCAACAAAATACCAAAGACCCTAATCTCAAAGAGAGAATCCCACTTCAAAGTAGAAGACCTTTATTCTAGAGCTAAATAACAATAATAATGCCCTTTGTACAATCCTTATTTGCACTTATAGGCATTTAGACATTAGCTGACTATACTGATCTAGATACGTGTAACACACATGTGTGTACAACTATATTGTAGCTCCAGAGCTACAAAAAGTTAAGACAGGGATCTTGTATTCCACAATTCACAATTATTCTAAATATATGATGCCCAAAGTACGTAAGCCAGATATTTAAGAGCGTCAGATATATTTTTAGAGATACAAAAAATATAGACCAAATACTGAACATTACAGAAACTAACAGGGGGAAAAGTTCTTTCTCTGCTTAAATTAAAAGTAGAATTCACCTTTTTACAATTTAATATCTAACAATATATATACATATTAGACAAATATTTTGTGTTCCTCCACAACATACAGTACATTAAAAAAAATTACTTTTCGAACAGAGGAAATGGATGCTTCAGGGATAGTCTTTGAAATCACAGGTTCAACAGTCCCCTTTGGATGCTAACGGCTTCAAGAAAGAACACCTGGCTTAAGTACTTTGGGCATCATATATTTAGAATAATTGTGAATTGTGGAATACAAGATCCCTATCTTAACTTTGTGTAGCTCTGGAGCTACAATATAGTTGTGCACATGTGTGTTACATGTATGCATTTTGTGGTACGAATGAACAGATGTGTACGGGCAGTGATGGGAGTGTTGGGTGCGAGATATGTGGACATGGTAGCCAACCTAGTCACCAAGAATTATCTGGAGCTACTCTTTGTGGTCTAAGGGACTGAAAACTTAGCAGAAGCTACCAAAGAGTCCTGTTTTAAAAGGGAAAAATCTGGGGTCTGCTAGCCAGAGTTCTTTTTAGCTAGATAAATTAAAAACCTTTGAATTTGAATTATGAATTTAATTATAAGGTTGAAAAGATTATATGCTTATTTAAAAAACAAACTATGAAACAGATTATATATTTTGATTACCAAAGTTGGAGCTCAAAAGCAGAATTTAGCCAAAGCAAAAAGCACCTAACCAATATTATAACAACTACAGTTTGAAAGTTCTAGTTTGAGTATCCTGGATATCACTTTAGCACTATTTTATCGGTCAGATTTTATTTTTTTCAATTTTTTTTAATGTTTATTTATTTCGGGGGGAGGGGAGGGAGGGAGAGGGAGGGAGACACAGAATCTGAAGCAGGCTCCAGGCTCTGAGCTGTCAGCACAGAGCCTGACGCAGGGGTCGAATCCACAAATCATGAGATCATGACCGGAATCGAAGTTGGATGCCTAACCAACTGAGCCACCTTCTCAATAGGTGCACCTCTATTGGTCAGATTTTAAAAAGACAATCTAGACTTAGCTGCTTGTATGAGTGATCTGAGCATTAACTTTGTATTTCAAGATTTAATTGATCCAACCAATTAAAGTTGGAAGGACACCCAACAACCTCTTGCCAGATGAGGTTCTGGCTCCATGATACTTGTTAGGTAGTGGTAAGAACAGAGAGCATGGGTAGTTTCCACTCTTTGAGGTGATCTGACTGCAATGATGCTTCTTCAGAGGGAGGTTTCAAGCTGAAAAGAGGATGTAGCTGTCCATGTGTTTGTGCTCTACAGCACATTTTTGTATGTTTGGTTCTGGTAGGGGTACATGCTGAATGTTGGCCAACAGATCACCAACTCAGGAATGCTAACATCCAGGCTTTAAAGGCATATGAGTTGGGACTATACCTACCTAAGAGTTTAATTTAGTGCTTCGTGGATGCTTAAAGTCATGTTTCCATTCCTTTACTAAGTCATTTGACTTATTTTCTACAAATGAAATTTCTGATATTGAGATGACAAATTCATGGCTACAACAGACTTTAACAATTAAAATCTAATGGGATTTTTATCTTATTAAATAACTTAAAATGTCAACTTTCTTCATGCTAAAATTTCACCCGTGCAGTTCACATAATAGCTCTAAGATCTTATAGATCTTTGAATAGGTCTTTAATGATTATGAAACAGAATAAAAATTTGAATTACTAGGGCAATCACAGGAGATCTGTCATCAGAACACAATGAAGTGCTAATT